AAAAAAGTGAATATTGATATTTTTTTTCTAATCCTAAAACCATAGTTAGTATCAGAAAATTCTGATCTTTGATGTTCTGGGTATATTAGGGTCCCCTATTCTTGGAAACCCCCACATGGTTCATCATCACCAGTCAAGCTCATGACACGTACTCCTCGCGACAAAACCAGTTAGCACAAGCAAGGTGTGTCAGGACAACAGTGGCAGGACAATAAACCTGCCCTCGGCCGCAAAGCGGGAGGAAGAGTTGGAACACGGTAGCCTCCGTAAGTGAAGCCCTGAATTCTTTAAACAACTTTTGCGGGGTCGTTTCAAGTATCGCGATTCCTAATGCACGTAAACCAACATTGAAAGTCTCCAGGAGCAGTGCGAACCCTTGCAACGATACAAACTTCACAGCAAAACTGGCAAAAACTGTTGAACTTTTGGTAGAGCCGTGCTCATGCCTTCGGTTCAGTAATCGGGTGTAATAAGAATGTACCGGGATGGTTCACGTGATAGGGCCAGGGGTCTTGCCACTTTCGAAACCGAGACACCTGCGGCTCGTCGCTGACGCGAAAGACAGACTTCCAGCCGACTCCCTTGTAGCCAGTAGTCGTCCCGGTCGCCTGCTGAGGTGTGGAACCGAGGCTCAGAAGTCGGATTTCGGCTCTGGAAGGGTTGAAGGGCTGTGCGGCCTCAAAGAGTGGCAAGCTGTCAGAAACTCCAGGAAGACGGGCTGAAGCGGTCAGCAAGCTTCAAACATGTCTGCAACATGACTGTTGACCTGCTAGTTTCTCGGGATTACTGTAAGGTTGTGTTGCTACGCATCGCGGCTTCTCTATTCCACCCCTGATCTCGTCAACAAACCCACAGGTTGCCGACAGAAGCGTTTACGAATCTGCTTCAGAACAACCGCGAGATGATAATATGCATGACCTCAGGAGCTCAGTTGTCTCGACAAAATGCCACCCTATGTTCTGAAATACCCGCGAACTATCGGTCTGCATCGCAGATCCTGCAGCGGATCCCCAAATTCTTGTGGCACCTGGGACTTGGAAGACCGGGAAATGTCGCAGAGTGCTCGCACATCTGCCTCCCGCTGCAGCTGGTGGTGCCAGGAGCTCTAACGGAAGTAACGTTCGATTCATTTGTTGATTGGGGCTTTGGGATGGATGCTTTTGGCCCTTCGTCTGCAGGGCAGTGTTTGATGGGGCATCGGTGCTGCACTACGAGCTGTGCTGTGAACTACTGTCAAACTGTGGGGAATGGATCAGCTGCAATCCTTCTCATCCTTGGGTCGGAGTTGAAATCAGTTCGCTCTTTCATTCCTTGCTGCACCTACTGCACTACTGCACTGCGTGTTGAAGCATCGCACATGCCGGCATACGCTCAACATCTCTGCTCCTCGGTCAGCCCCTTCTCGTTGTTCGCCTTACTGAAAGATGCTTCGTGTACACTCGCTCGGGCGCTGCTAGCTGCCCGCGACATTAGAATTGGGTCGTGAAGGAGTCCCACGCATAGGAGACAAGTTGACCGAGCTCCCTCTGCGAAGAGCTCAAAGAGCTGAAGGCACACTCATTCAGTACCGTCTCTGAGCTTCAGCCGAGCAGCTGCAAAAAAATACGGTGGATGTCCCGATGCTTCCGGTGGCCTGCAGAACCAGCCAGTGAGCTCGCAAACTTTTAAAGCTACTTGACCTCCAGTTGTTCACTGGACAGTTGCAAGGTTTTGGCGCTGGTCGGGGATTCAGCAAGAACCATGCACGGATTGATCCCACGTGCTCGTGGTACTGCTCAGGATTACCGTGGTCTCCCCTGCTCGTTCGGCTTTCAACAAACACACAAAGGCGGCAATCTCTTCGTGGACCCGCTCGTCCTGGACACAACATGGCAAACCTAACCCGGGCTCTCAGCTCTGATCCAAACTTCGGAACAGCTTCGACCATAAACAGGCTCATGACTCATGCTCGGGCTGACAACCATGGGCACGGTGCAGAAGATGAGAAAACCCCTCATGGATGAAATGTACTGAGGGCTGACGGCAATGATCAGTTTTCGTTGTCATTGCGATGAGGATGCCAAGGGTCCCAATGCTAGAGATGCTTGCGAACATGACGCGAACGAAGAGTTGCTGCTGCTGCGGCTGCTGCTGTTGCTGCTGCTGCTGCTGCTGCTGCTGCTGCGGCTGCGGCTGCGGCTGCGGCTGCGGCTGCGGTTGCGGTTGCGGTTGCGGTTGCGGTTGCGGTTGCTGTGACTGTTACTGTTCATGTTGTTGCTGTGCCGCTGCTGCTGGTGGTGTTGTTGTTGTTGCTGTTGCTGTTGCTGTTATTGTTGCCTTCTTTTTATTGGTGGTGGTGGCGTTGGTGAAGTTGGAGCACAATCCAATAGCACCTTATAAACACCCGGGACCTGACCTACAAGCAAAGTCTGTCATGCCAGTTTTCAGCAGAAACCGCAAGAAACTGCGGCCCTTCGGAGCACCTGCCCCTGAGGACCAGATTGATCCGCGGCTGCACACCCTCCCCGTAGCTGTTGTCGTCAGCCTCACCAAAGCAGGGCTGATGGTCTAAAGGGTTCAATCCGATGAGCCCCACATCTCATGGACTCAGTGCCAGACATTCTGGAGAAGCTCCTCTCATGGGCCGATCTGAAAAAGTTTGACCGCTGCGCATCAATTCAATTTCCCTGCCAGTCTCACCTGCGGAAAATTGCAGAAATGCTGAGTACAAACTCCTCCTTCACATCGCTCCATCTGCCAATCGTATGCACAGAACTCCCTGCCCAAAAACTGTGCTATAATTACTACCCAGGCTGGGTGCTCCCACTATAGCTGGAAACTTAGCAGTGCTCGCCATGTTGAAGATGTCTTGTGACATTGGTCACACTACTCTTGATGTTCAGCTTTCTAGACCTTACACTCTTACAGGCCGTTGCGTCACATACAGGAATACATTCTGATGCGCCTATGTTCATCTGTATTCTCTTGTCCGCACGTGAGACCCGGTAGGCTTCTGTCCAGTGTGCTGCCGACTCGTCTGGCGGCCATGAAAAAACCCTCGGTAAGGACGCCGACTACAGGAAGTCCCATCCCGAAACCACGGTCCTGTACAAAGTGCGCCTGCGATTCGTAGAGGTCTTTCGCCTGCAAGCCCGGTAGGCTTGCTACACCAGCTCACCGAAGCGTCCCCGTTTTGGACAGACAAGTCGACATTCGAGGTTGGACATACAAGATCCTTGTGCTACTAGAAGGTGAGGTGCGTCGGAGCATATTCTGGACGCATGCTCTTTGCACCATGCCAGCACCTCCAAGTTGTGCACAACAAGAAACACGCCATTGAAGATAATTTAAGAACAGTAAAATGAAAGACTGGAAGAAAAGCAGTTCAAGGAAACTCAAGCAGTGCATGGGTCCGTCGAGGTCGTGAAAGCTTCCATCCTCCATCATGCTCCTGCATCAAGGATCCCCTTATGAGGCCACCTTGCCGGAACTGAATTCAAAGCGAACTCTTGCGTTAAGAGGTTTAACAAAAGTCTCCGGGATCCTGGCCAAACGATCCACTGCGGCTGTCAGTGAGCGACGCATCTCGGCCACGCCGCGACGCAAGCCCTGGGATTTCGCATTTCCAAGTTTCAAGCGGCAAGCAAGGGGGCCGAAAGTAGTTTAACGTAGCAAGCATCGTGTCGGATAGGATTGAGTTGATCGGGATTTTTGGTATCACTCCACATGGCTATCAATAACCTTGGTGTGGTGGCAGATTGTTGTCAAATTGAGATGCATTGCTGGGCCAACCTCTCGTGATTGAATTAAGAGTTCAGGTAGTGAGGCCTGCTCACAGCTCCCTCAACTTCGGCTTAGGGCATGGAGGCCATGGGCCATGATGTCGGCTGCGATATGCCTGGCTTGTAGCTTAGCATCGTATCGTATAGTATAGTATAGTGCAGTATAGAGTATAGTGTGGTACAGCATAAGAGAGTGTAGTACAAGTTGTTGCGGGACATGGTGACGCGGAGTTGCAGGGTTCCCATGACTTCGCTTTGCAGCAACCCGTGATCTCGAGATCCGTCAATCCTACAATGCACTAGTAAACAACTCTCGCACAAGACCCTGAACCAAAGTCACGACATAATAACAAACCTACAAAAAACCCAAACCAGAATCCTCACACTTAAACCTCCAGAAGGACCTCCAAACTCTCTTGGGGCTGCGCTGCTGGAAGCTCTTCCAGCTCCACACCAACTAGCCTGGCCTTCAAGGTGTTCGACTTCTTAGCTGAGGCTAAGATGGCTTTCGGGGTGTTGTGGTTCCAGGGTTTAGGGTTCGTAGTGCTGCAGGGATGCAGGATTTAGAGCTTGGGACTGTAGGGTCCCAGTGGCTGCTTTCGGCCAGAAACTTGGGAAGATCGCAGGATGGGCCCGATCCGGCCCAATCAACCAAAAGGGACACTGGCTTCTTTTGTGCGGAGTCCCCACTCCAGGGAATCTGCATCTTGCAACCCATGGGCACTAGTTGCACCAAACAACAGGATGTCGGGCTAATCATTTCGGGGCTTTTTTTGCTTTATGAGGGGTCCCTAAACCCTATAAAGGTTATATATGCTTTATGAGGGGCCCCTATAAACCCTATCAGCACCTCTGCCTCTGAATGGTTCCGGGACCCTGGCCGCATTGGGGTGTAGGACCTCTATAATGGCTTTCGATATTCGGTTTAGGGTTTAGGGTTTAGGGTTTAGGTGTGGCTTACTTTCGGAACCTCGCCTTTGCTTCACGAGTCCCGAAACCCGTTTACCATGCTATTCTTCGAATCTGGAAAAACATGCTGCACCTGTGAGCCAACTAAGTAACTTGTAGGCCCCGATACCCTTTGTAAGGGGCCTTAATACTTAGAATATGGTTTTGGGGCCCCTTATACTATCGACAACCTCTCAGCCAACAAAAATGTTGATTGGCCCGTGCCAGCCTTGCGGATATCCCGCACCACTGCTTCCTCGAGAGAGGCGCCGTCATCCGGGCCTCCTTCTGCGGCCTGTGATGCGTCTATTGCTGTTGGGCTGGCCTGAAACATTTTGGATGGGTCGGCATCTTTCCACATGAATTTATATAGGACTTTATAGGGTTCAGAACCAGTGATCGCGGGGAACATTTCAGGCCGGGACTACCAAGATCGTGACGGCCTCAACGGACCTCTGGTTTACTCTCTGTTGGTCGCTTAGGCTACTGATGGCGTAGAGGGCCAGTCACTTGTTTCCGAAATCACCACGACAGCCTTCGTGTGCGTGGAGTTTAGCTTAGCAGCCCATGGAAAGGGAACTCGGATGCAACACGCAGAGCACACAGTATAGAACTAAGCAGGTTCATACCGGACGGGCCAAGTGTTGTAGCAGTAGAACGAAGTACATGGCTGAAGAACAACAACTGCCTAACTACCACGACTGGACCACTACCACAACCTGTTCGCTCACCTGTCGAAGCTTGCCACACGAGCGAAAACTCAACCAACCCGACACCTCGCCCTCCGTCAGTGGGCCGCGCTGGAACCTAACCTCTCAACCTGGAGCTCTGTGACCTCTCTCTTTGTTGGCCTAGTAGGCAGCCTACCCGTACCCCGAAGATCAGGATGCCGTCTTGCGCAGGATCGCAGCCTCTGCCGCCAGGCGACGCGCGTCGGGAGGCAGAGCAAGCTCACCTGAGCCCCGACACCGAAACCCATCCATTTACAAAGACTCCAAGCCACACTCCGAGGTTAAAGACAAAATCGCACAATAAAGGTTGCTGCGTCCTGCTTGATCCGATAGTCATGCCAACCATGGCTTGTGATGGTTATTGGTGCCTCAACCCGAAATCATCCAGCATGGTTGCCGAGTGCCCGGCCCTCCGCACTTTCCGTCGCTGCTTGCCTCCAGATGTGTTCATGGGAAACTGCTGGCAAGGCGACTGCGTAGGTTTGGAGGAGCCAATCTCATTCATAATCATCTGCCTCTTCATTCATGGATGCTCGCTGCGCGAATCGCCGCTGGACATTCCAAATTGCGCACCTCTTTCTGTAAGTCCCGAAAAGTAAGCTATGAATCGCTGCAGAAACAGTGCCGAGCCACTTCTGTTCCACCTTGCTCGCGACCATTACCAGCTCATCCTCGAGATGGCAGGCGCAATTCTGGGTCCCAAAACATGCGGAAAGGCAATGAAAACCTCCTGTCAGAAAGTCATCTCCTAAAGGTCGCCAACGTCCCCATCTGATATGCTCAAACTCGTCTGAGCTGTATCGCGGCGAAATTGAACAGCGTGGGCAAGCATGAGATTGAGTCAGTACGGTTGCCGAACTTATGGATTCGAAATTGCCTCGAGGATTCCAAACCAAAGTCTTCAGCTCCGCACCTCTTTGTCGGCCAAAGTTCGCCGCAACTGCCGGTTTTCTTGCTCGAGAGCCGCCTCGCAAAAATCTTTCCGAACTCTGGACCCCGCGATGGCGAGGGCTAAGCCAAACTGACTATATGCTGAGGGGTGTCGACCCTTCCAAGATGCAGTTGAAACATACACACGCTCATTTTCTCGGCGATCCTCACCCAGCCCGATGCCGAAATGAACACCCAAATGACATCATGTGCCGACAGCTATCATACCTTCCGATAACGGCCTGCGTGGCTGCGGCCTCCTCACGCTGCTGCTGGGAGACCTGGCCGTTCCCGAGCTCCGGATATCATTGAAAAGGTACGGCAAGCAGCGGGGCTGCGATAGCAGAGACAATCACGAAGAGCGACGACGGCAACAACGCAATGCTGTTATAGCATCATTCTCGTTTGCAAGTGTTGCGGCTGCATCCACGCTTATCGATGTATGCGCAAACCTTCGCAGGATTTACGCTCAGCTTGGTCCGTGGTCCAGCTTCACGGGCGACTCGCGGTGCCACATCAGCACTTTTGTACCGAGGCCCCAAAGCGAACACATTTCGGAGCAGTCAAGGTGTGCCAGAAGCTTTTCAAGGCGTGATACCTTGCGGTTTTTTTCGACCTGTGGAAGTTTCCTCGCCGGCATGGTCGCTGAAAGTGTCTTCCGAAGTTTCATTCCCAAACATCAAACGGCAAACCCTCTCAGGTACCTTTTCCAGGTGTGCGAGCCGCAGCCGCAGTTCCTGGCTTCGAGGTCAAGTTGTCGGGGTTGCGGACGAAGGGTCTCAGGAGCAGTATACTAACGATAACAATATGGTTATGATGCTACAATAACATAGTGATAGTAGTATAGTACTAACAATGAAAAATATAATGTTACAATCATATAATATGACTATAACAACAATAAGCATGAATGTAATGTTACAATAAAGATAGAAATCGTAGTATTTCTAACGCTAATATTACTTAGGAGGGTCAACGTCTGCGGGTGTTTTGCTGGCTCGAGCTTCCTTGTGCGCCGTTCCAAGACTCACGTCTTTCCAACAATATGAGAAGCATAAAGGGGCCCTATTAATTAAAATAGGCTTGGGGGGGTATGTTATACTGTAAATATATTCAGGAAACTCCAAAAAATATTGGTAATTATCTAGACCCTACATTTTCTCTTGAAGAGCCTGTCATTTATGCCACTCCCACTGGCGCAGGTACATCCACCACCACCTCTGTCACCGCTGCAACCACCACCAGCACCACCCATGCCGCGGCAACCACTACCGCAACAACAACCAAAACAACGACGACCACCACCACTATCACGATGACGACGGCGACGACCATTATCACCACGTTCATTGTCTTTATCACACGGACAACACATCTATGTGTCTGGTTCCTCGTACCCTGTGACGATTGAGAAGTGCCACCACTGTTTCGTAGTTTACACCGGGAAAATCCGGGAAAGATCGCACTGGCGACATACCCCATCCTGCTTCACCGGAGCTTGTAAGAGCGTCGGCTCGAACGTGACCAACAAATTAGTCGTGCTCTTGCTGCTCGTGTGACTTAAACACGGATGACGATTACGATGGTGATAGCTGATAGCGAGGAAAGGCATGATGGTGATGGTGATGGTGATGGTGATGATAACGATGACGATGTTGATATGGATGGTGATGAGGATGAGGATGACGGTGGTGATGATAATGATGCGGCCGGCTATCTGGAGTACGTTGATACCTATGCCGTTTTAAATTACACATGTCCTGCTATGTACACAGGACAACTCGGGGTTCATAGGAGCAGGAGCAGCAGAGACGGTCGTTATGGTGGACTAGTGGCTGGATAACCTCGGACAGTATCCCACAAGTGCAGTCTCCTGCTGTTGCGGATATGATTGCCAGTCATATTTAAAATTTGACGACCCGCAGCTATTAAAGATCGAAAATGACAATGCTAGGCGCTGCATTCTTGTGATTGCTCTGCCCGGCCTGGGGCTCCACGTCTTCCATCTCCTCCTCCGTTTTGATGGCTAGGCTCTCCAGGACGGAGATGCGCTGCAGGCCCTTGAACAGGTGGTTCATGAAGGATTCTGACATGACGGGTTCTGGTGGAGCGGACCAAAGATGAAAATGCCATCTTCCTAGTCTAGAACGACGCATGATGCTCGTCTAGCAAACGAGGGTCCAAGTTTTAGGATTCAGGCCCTCCGCAGGGAAACCCCACAACCGAGAACCGAAGTCGTTTGGATTCTAAATGGGGAAGCGTGGCTGGCGATCTCGGGGTGGGATTTATAGTGTCAATGCATGCACCTGAACTCGGGCACTACATCACTATATCTTCACCCAGTGTCTCAAGTCTCGGTCCTGCACACAAAAGGTCCATGCAGCCCGAAAACTCGAGCATTTCGGACAAAAGAATCAGTGCATCAGACTTGAGCCTGTCGCAGCCGCGCAGCCGCAAAGCCTTCCCGCTCTTCTGCCTCGCACCAGCAAGCAGTCACCGCATTCAAAGATCCCTAACCTCCCAGGTACCTACTATATAGGGCCCAGGGGCTCTAGTACCCTATATAGTAGGCAACTGGAGGGTTGGGGGATGTTGAGGTGCTTTCAGATGGCCTTTTTGAAAGCAAGGTCCGGTAGCGCGCTTCCGCTGACAATCTCTGTGCATTGTCTTCGTACTGCTGGCCTAGCATATTCTCAGTCATATCAATGATTAGGTCGTTCCTGCGAAGACTGCGAGTGCAGCAACATTTACCTGGCTGACTGGCTCGGTAGGTGTCGTGGGTATAGTATAGTATCAGCAGTCTTCTGTTTCAAGCCTTCACCAAGCAGCTGTACCGGGAGAGCCCCATTCCACAAAAGACCCTTATCATGAACCTTACGTCTCAAATCCTAAAGACTCCCAAGACTAATCAAACTCCAGAGCTACAAAGGCTCCGCCTTTCAGTCTGCATATCGGATGCAGATTCCGAATGCTGACAAACCCCAACCCCCCAGGTACCTACTATAAAGGGCCCTAGGGGCTCTAGTACCCTATAGAGTAGGTACCTGGGGGTTAGGGAAACATCAAGCCGCTCCTGCTGCGTGAAGTCATCGAGAGTCTCATCCATCTGTTCCGGCACCAGGAGCAAGGCCGCACGCCCGCCCCCAGCGCCTAAGTGTGTGATTGCCAACACCTGGACCCCAAAAGTATGTAAAATAATAGCCTTTTTATGCATCTTGGGCCATTATTTTACCTACTTTTGGGGGTTTAGGCAAGGCCCCTGGAGAGTTCAGCAGCAAAGCATGGACATCTACGGCTACGGGATTTCCCTGACTGCTGCCCCCAACAAGATGTGTATGAAGGCCGTCACCATCAACGAAAGCGTGTTCAGCCTGTGTCTCAGGGAGCGTTTTCAAGGGCCTCAGCCAACTGAGCCGATCTCAAATTTAGGGGAACGACAACACCATCGCCACATGGATCCTGAAGGGGACTCAAGCGGCCGGAGCTGACGCAGTGTGACACGTGACTTCGGGCGGAACCCCCTGGGGCTAAAGATAGGAACATGTTTGAAACCTTCCTGCAAAGTTCCACATGCTGCTCTGCTTGCTGAGACCACGGCTAGCAAGAGATCGCCATGCTCGGGCAGCCTTCCAGCATCACAAAGAGCAACAGTCTGTGGAACGTGAACCCTTGTGGTTCACAGGGGACGCCCAAGTCCTAGATAAAGCGTTGTGGCACTCGATGCCCAGACATGACCGGCAATGACCGTCGTAAGATGCAGAAACAGTCACACCAGACGTAACAAAGCCGCGGAAGCTGGCAAAGACAAAGGCACAATAGCTTGCAGATGATGTTTTTGCCGCTAAAAGCACAAGTCCAGGTAGTTGCAAACCCCTGTTCCGACAGCATACATACTTACAGCAGTAGTAACCTATGGAGTCTATAGACGTCTCCATGAACCGATAGGCACTGCAAGTCTGATGGCAACCCTGCAACATTGACGACATGCACACATGATTTTACAGACGCATTAATACACTCATGCAATATACAATATACAATATACAGTATGCAATTTACAATATACACTATATTTCTGCGATATACATACACATATACATACATTTACATGCACATCTACCTATGCATAAATACATACACGTGCACATACACATACACACACACACATACCTACATACATATACATA